CAGAGGTCGGCAACCCTGTTGGCACGCGAAGGGTTAACTGATGGCACGACCATAGCTGGACTGGCCATCGGTCATACCGGGCATTTGCTTGATGGGCCGATGATTTTTATTTTTGTAACGGTATAAACAATGAAAGGTGGTGGATTGGCCAGATGCTGGCTGATGTGTAAAAATAACTCAGTTGTTTGGTGGTGGCTATGGCGGAGCTTCCACAGATTCAGTAAACTTAACAAGTGGTGGAGGCCAGCAGGTGGATGAGGGAGAGGGGAGGCAGGACGAGGAGAGACTCGAGGCAGCCGCCGGTCTGAGTGTCAGGTGAACTGAACTTCAGGTAAGAAGTTATGACCTGCAGTCTATCTGGGTCAGATATAAACCAAGTTTAGGTGGAGTTTATTTTCGTTGTGCTGACTTTTCACAGTCAGTTACAATAACTCGTACTGCGTGAGCTAGCATGACAGAGTTTCTATACAGCTGGGTGGGTGCTATGATGTTACTGATAGTGAACTTTTTATTCATAAGGTTAGTAGAGTTGCCAACCTTCCCGTAAAAAGACAGAATCGTCTCGTATTCAGAGAAAATATTATGCGTTTCGTGTTGAGCTGAGAAGGGACGCACGCAGTTTGTCCGTACTTCAGCTAGAATGGAAAAAGAAACAAAGGTGGATTTATTCTGTCGTTACGCTGCACAGCTGCCTCTTCTTCTCTCATTCTCTCCCCCTCCCTCTCCTGTTGCTACTTTAATCATGAAACTCATCAATGATCAGCTGATCGTCTTTCTCTCTTGTTTGTTTATCGCCCACTTTGCGCCAGAAAGAGGAAACCGGCGGATGTCGCACTAAACAACAGCAGCACATTTAAGCTTGATCAGCTGTTGTTAGAATTTATTTAATATTAATTTCTAGTGTCAGCTGAGGTTTGCTGGAGCCACAGCTGTAATGCTGCTGGTCAGGATGTCAGTTTGTATACCTGGTGAGAGGGAAACATGAAGATGAAACCAGGAGATGTCCTTACTGAATCATCAGAGCTGAACAGGTGATGGAGAAACAGGTTTACCTTTTAGGTGACATGAATGAGTTGAAGGGAAGTTATGAACTGTTTATGAACTGTATTTGGCTCTACATATCTGTGTGAGCAGATTTTCTCTCACATGAGTCCTCAGGTAGCCCTCTGAATGCTGGACACTTGGAGACCTGTGTTTCTGAATGGGAGACCAGAGATCCCATTAACATGTGTATCTCTGTATTAACAGATATGCCATATTGGCCCAGTTTATTTTGCTTATCATTGTTGTGAGGAGACCATAAATAGCATTTGTATTTTCTGTTGTACAGTTCATTTGCTGTTCTTGTTATGGATAAAAAGTGTCTTTTTTTGATTCAAAATAGCTGATAACTATTCACTGATAGCTGCCTACATCTGCAAACAAATATAATTCTATAAAGTGGTTCTATATATTGTGTAACTGTTCATATAGAGCGTTATTAAATCTTTTGCTAATGCAATCATATGGCACACTGACTTCTGAGGAAATTTTAAATGGCACTCGCCATCAGAAAGGTTGCCGACCCCTGGGTTAGGTTGTCTTACCCTGCTCTCAGACTGTATAATGGAAATTCAGAATTTTCCACCTTTAAATAAAAAAGGTTAACAAAGTTTAAATTGAATTGTTACACAAAGGTTGTTTAACGATCTTGTGTGTGTGTTTGGAATGATAACGGATGAAAAGGTTAGCGGTACAGACACTGTCCTGTGTGCAGAAAAAAGCTAACCAAAAGCCTTTCAGCCTTCATCTTATCTATTGTGAGGTCTTTCTAGGGTACCAATGAACAAAAGGTCTCAGTGATAAACTGGTCAGCTTCCCTGGTGTTTCAAAATCTCCTGTCTGACTGAATAAACACCAGCTAGCTACCTAGCTAGCTGGCCAGCTAGCTACTGACATTAAATTTACATCACATCTGTGGTCAAAAGCAATGTTCCCTCTAATTTTTCATGTGTCTGAGCGAACACACAAACTCCCTGAGCGGTCCCTTGGACCACTGTGAGCAACAGCAGACGTGTGCACTGTGGTCACGCCAGCATCGAATCCATCCAAGTTACATGGTTTATTAAAATAATCAAATTACAGCATTTATGTTAGACTACTTTTAATTAACTGCTTTAGCCCACTTACAGTGAAAATTTAAATAAATCTTGTTCGTGACCTGTGTAGTGTGTTAACACTACTGGAAGTAAAAATAACTCGAACTCCAATTTTGAAAACACAACTTTCTTTTTTTTTTTTCTTTTATAAAGCTCTGACCTGTATTATGAGTCTGAGTCTGTGGTCTGGGAGAGTCCTGTAACTCTGTCTGCAAAATACAGTATATAAAGACCAATGTTGGGCAATTAATTATATAGTTACTTCTTCAAAAAAGTTACTGAGTTTTGCAAACAACAAACAGTTTTTTGCAGCTGCTTACCTAAAAATGCAGCCGAGGCGTTTTTTAAATAAACATTTCAAACTATTTACAGAACAATCAGCTGTTCTGCATCAAATTTGATGCCACACAAATTATTTGTGCCACTCCAAAAAATAATTTCTGTCCACTATGAGATAAAGGAGAACAACAGCCTGATACCTGCAGGCCTGACAACAGGAGATGTGTCACTGCTGTAACACCTGTAACATTCAGCAGTCGCCTCATTGTTCTGACACACACAACAAAACTATTGACTACACTACACACTAACTACACAAGATTTGCGCTAAACGTCGCAAATCTCTCACATCTCAAAACACGCCGTCACTCCTATAACTTCCTCCCGTTTCTTAACAACTAAATGCCATGTTTTGATTGGTCGACATGATGGTACATTATTCGACCTATGGGAAAGGGTGGGGGGTGTTTTGGTTTCATGTTTGCTCACAGGCGGAGAGTGCTTTCGAGCGTTTTTTTCTTATAAAACGCTGTTTTTACCGTTTCTCCCCGCAGTAAATATAAACAACGACAGTATTGAGGAAGAAAAACAAACACTGCATATATTTTTTATCACAAATCTGGTTTTACGTGGCCTATCAACACAATTTAAGAACTGGTATGAAGTCCACACTTTTTCCGTCAATTGTTCCGTCTGTCCTGCTCACATCTCCAATGGTTGTCCACATTGTCATTAACGTGGCTTCACTCCACATCAGCCACGCCGCTTTGCTAGCTAAAACACCGGTGTTGGCACATAAGGACGCTGTCATAGCCTGTCAACGACGTTGATTAGCTGCGCATATGCGTGAATGTGAATCCGTGATTGGCTGAACTATGGGATAAAGTGGCATCGTTCTAATCCCACACTGGAGCAGCCAGTCACTTACTGACTAACACTGCAAAACAGAATTGTTAACGTATTTACTTTAATTTCAATTCAGGTTAGAACTTTTTTTTGTGCGCAACGCAGATTTTTTCTGCGCAGAGACCGTGCCAGCAGTACGCACGAACGCAGCTTAGAGGGAACATTGGTCACAAGCCACAGGTGGTAGTTGTTGTGCTGCTGCTGAGTTTTGACGGGTTTTAACGACTTCTCCTCCTGTGTGGAGGATGTGGAGGTTTAGTCTGAGTGGAGACACCTACTGTTCAGGAGAATACTAACCTTGTAAGAATAATGCTAACAAGGTTAGCATAAATGAAATGGGGCCTTAACAGCAACAGCTAAAGCTAGCATATCCCAACAACAATTTTCAGTAACAGACAATGACACACAAGCTAACAGCAGAAATGCACACCATCAGATAACAGCTAGGAACGTTCAAGACAAAGGTCTTTGGTGCGATTAACCTTACATTTATGTAACGCAGTTATAGTTTCTCTTATAAACAGGGGTGCACATAAGTGGTCCGCAGGTGCGCATTTGCTGTTAAAATAAAAGACATGCGCCAGATATGAAGTTGCAACGTGCGTTTGCGTACGTATAAAAGGCAGTGTTTTTGTCCGCTAGAGTGGGATTTTCACAGCATATTCTGCACCACATCTCTGTGCGTTCATCATTTGTTTGAAGCCAGCTCACTTCCTGCAACCACTTTTCCGAGAACACGCGCTTCTTTTGCGGTTCGGACTTCTTCTGACATTTCTTTGGAGGTGGAGGAACACCAAAGTAATTGCTTAAAGGAGCTTGCTTCTTCGACATCTTTAAGTTCTAAACAAATGTCTGTCCTCCTCCAGAGAATCTTATGTACGCAAACACGCGTTGCAACTTCTAATGTGGTGAGCATCTTTTATTTTGACAGCGAATGCGCACCTGCGAACCACTTTTGTGCACCCCTGCTTATAAAAAACAGATTTAGAAACCTGACAGCTTACTTCGTATAAACTTAATGCGAGATCATCCTGGCGTGGATGTGTGCCATGCAACTCTATAGAATTATTATAAGTGATGTGGAATGCGTGTGGAATATGCTGAAGCAGAAATAACACACGTCTGTGTGTGGGAGGCCCCGATCGACTACAACAAACAGCACTCCTGTAAGACAAAGATGTAGTCATGTAAATGTCTAGAAATGGAACTCATTGTTTCACACTTTAGGAGAAAAGCAGATTGAAGCCTCCTCCTACTTACTGTTCCTTCACTGAGTCACTCCGTCAGGTTTCAGATTAAGGTGATCTAGTTAAAATTCCCACTGTGACATCTGGAACTCCTGTCAAAGCTCCATGAGCACTGAAAGTCCAGTATGCAGTGAGGATGACTGACACTCACTACCATGTCTCATTCTCCTCAGAGATTCTAAGCAGTCAATAATTCATCAGGAAGGTATACTCTCATGTAAGGGTGCAAGGTACAGCATGGAGTGGAAACTTTCTCCCTCTTCCCACCCTCAGTTTGTCATTTCTTTCTCAACCTACAGACAGTCCCTTCCCCATCTCTTCCTTGTTCTCCCTCCTTCACTCACTCACCCCCCACCTTACGGTCTCAATTTATATTGCACCACTTCAATAATTCAAAGTGATATATAAAAGTCAATGAAATTTGCCATACCTCGGGTCATTACGATGCCTGCCAGGGATTTGTGCCGAGCGTGCACAGGACTGCAGCCGCCCACCAGCGACCGGTACTTCTCCCTCACCAAGTGGAATATTGAATCAGCAAAGTCCTGAAAAACACAATCGCTCCCTTAATTTCTACTGGACACAATCTGTGGAGACCGACTACCCAGGTTTAAATTTGCTGCACTTGGTTAACCTGTTCAGGTAAACAGAGTGAGGTTTAGGGAGATTATCCTAAAAGCCAACTTACCTGTTTAGCTATGAGTGCATAGAGATCATCGAAATGCTCGAGGCATCGGTATAAAAAAAAGATTTCCAACAGTAGCACACAGCAACTTGATTATTATTGAAAGGTTTCAGCTGGAAAGCTCTACACACAGTATTATTAAATCAATGATACCTGATAGCCATGAGTGTTTTAGATCTTAGATGATGCATTTAATCTGTATATCCTCGTCTGGTTGTTAAAGAGACACAACATGCACATTTTGTTAAGCTCTTCCCTATTTAACCTTCCCGCTTACATGATCTGACAAAGCAGTGTTGCAATTGTGATGCAAATGTAAAGTTTTCATTGAGCAGCCATTAACTTTAACAGCAGAAGAGTTATCATTATCGTTTCTGCCAGCATATCCCAAAATAAAAGCCACTTGTCCCAGACCCCATTGTTTCCTGTCTGACTTCACTGGAGTGCACGATCGTGCTGGACACCATTTTTCAGTTCTCATTTCCTCCACCATCTGCCATTTGGAGCGCCTCTAAAAACTTGCTGTTTTTGCTTCTCGGTCTGACCGACATTACTCATGCTGATTTACTGGAGATAAAATGCAAAGTATGAAATAAAACTGTGCTCTCTATGTACATTTACCCCTCCACCTCCGACTCAACACTTCTCACCAGACATCCACTAAATCCACACTGTTCACCAGATGTTTGCCGAGACATGGGCACGGTTTTTGCACCCTTTGGAATTTTTAATGCTCTTTACTCGAGTAGTAATTAAGGGCTTAGTCTCCAAGCAGTCTCCACGCCAACTGTAGAGCCCAAACGGATCACTGGAAGATGGCAACAGAGTGGCAGTGGAGTGGGCCTTTTGGACAGATTGAAGCCCGCAGTGGCTAAAAGGACATCAACAGATGCCACAGTAACAGACGTACAGAGTGAGAGAGGAGCAGAGAGATTAAGGGCAAACAGAAAAAAAGGCGAGGAGAGCAAATGAATGAGCATATTGCACATTATAGCCCTCGTCAAGGCTGTGAAATACTCTCACAGTAGGAACTGGCGGTGGAGGTGCTCACAGCTTGTGTTGCGGTGGGTGGCGTGTGGGTGTGTATGTATGGACACGGGCATATTGGTGCTTTGACACCGGTGTCAGCCCGAAGCTTTTTCGGCGAGTAGAACAGGAAGGAGCAGTGAAAAGTCATCACGGTCAATAACTTAGCACAGAGGTTCTCAGCTAACGGTTGGGTGACAGGTCAAAACTGAGGCGAGTCTCCTTATTTTTAACAACAGGCAACGAAGACAAGAAAAGACACATTTCCTCTACCACTATTTACTTGATGCTTGGCTAACACTTCACTGTTATTGCTGCCAGTTTTCGGTTTTACGGTCAGCGGCAATGATCAGTAAACATCCTCATTCCAGATTCACCTCTGAAATATAGTTATAAGGCATATTTTGCTTTGTCATGCCAAAAGACATTTTAAAGCCAAGAAACTCTTCACGAGACAGCTCAAAACCAAATAAACAGTTTGGGACATGGACTATGACAATAATGTTTTACATGTGTCAGAAGTGAATAAACAGGTATACAAAAATGCCTCTTTTTTCAATTCAAGACAGTTTTAAAGGTGCAAGGAGGTACTGTACCTATCCAGAGGTTGGTGCTTGGATCCCTGGCTGCTCCTGCATGTATCCTAAGTATCCTTAGGCAAGATACTAACCCCAAATTGGTCTCTGATGCATTCATTGGAGTATGAACACATGTGTATGTTAGATAGAAGACACTCGAATAAGACATGCTGTATAAAGACCTTTGAGTGCTCGAGTAGAAAAGTGCCAGTGCATTTACAATTCATCTTATATTACTCTAGACAGTCTGCACTGCCAAATATTGCACACAGTCAACCCTCATGATGATCTACTGGAACAACTGCACAACATTTTGGACTGTGCCTTCAGTCCAAAAGAAAACTGGCATCTTCTGGACTCCATCATGGCCGTTTGCCAAGAGTTTCAGCCAACACAACTGCTTGGTTTACAACACGAGCAGCAGAAGGTCAGAATTATAGAGTCGTTAAAAAAGAAGAATAACATCTCTGGCCTTTCTTTCATGTTGGACAAACACATAGCAAGGGTAGCATCCACATTCTGATAGATATCCAACCATTTTCTGTTGCTTATCCGGGTCTGATCTACAGGGCAGCCCTTCTTCTCCCCAGCCACCCACCCCAGCTGATGAGGGGACACCAAGCCATTCCCAAGTCAGCTGAGAGATGTAATCCCTTCAGTGTGTCCTGGGTTTGCATGTCCTCCTCCCATTAGGACATGCTGGAAACACCTCACCTAGGAGGCATCCTACCCAGATACTTGAACCACCTCAGCTGGCTCCTGATGTGGAGGAGTAGTGGCTCTAGTCTGGGATCTTAGGCTGCAATTCCGATTTTTTGATCAAATCCGATTTTTATGTCTGCTTGTTCACACTACAAATAAAATGTGACAGCAAACGCGCTCTAGTGTGAACCCGCATGCACAAAAGAAGACGTCACACACAGCGCTCTTTGTTTAGACACAGACCAAACAGTATTGTTTGACTGATGGCCGTTAATATAAAGACTTGTTTCGGACTTTACGTTTCCCAATTTTGCTTTAAGTTATAAAGTCATTTTGTTATTTACATATGGCCCAATAATGATCCTTATTGCTGTTTTAGAGGAGCGGTGCTTCAAAGGATAGTTGCAGAATCTACAGATTATACAGTACAAATAAAATGTTCACGTTGTCTTCCCAACAGTTTCACTGACATCTACACGGGATGGCCAGGAAGCGTTCACGATATCTTCTCGGGCGCTTATAATTGGCGTCTGTCTTGTGTCAGTGACGTAAAAGACGGATTTAATGCGACATATATATAAAGCAGTCGCTTTCTGAAACATCAGATATGTATTGGATTCAGTACCACATACGAAAGTGACCCAGGTCGGATTTGAAAATATCGGATTTGTGCTGTTCACACTGTCACACCATGATCGGATATATTGTTGCATAGGGTCAAAAAAGTCGGATTTGATGCGCTTTCGCCTGCAGTGTGAACGTAGCCTTATTCTTGAGGTCGCTATCCAGAGCCTGCGGCCATAAATAACAGGAATACAGACTGACCAGAACAACAGCTTTGCTCTGGTACAAGCAGCTTTGCCATACCCCAGCTTCAGTTCATCTCTCTACAACAGCGCTCCCCAACCGCGAGAGTTGAGGCTCAGGGGTGAAATTTATGGTTTTCAGGGTTTTTATCGGTTTTTATCGTTATTTTTTTTAAAATCATTTTTATCGTTAACTCGGTTTCCCTGGGTCTTTTCCCGTGTGTTATGAATAAATCTTCTTCTTTTTTGGTACCGGTACTGGTTTTATTTTGTTGTATTTATCCGTGACACCTTAAAAGCCGGTTCGTGAAAATATTGTCAGACATAAACCGGTCCGTGGTGCAAAAAAGGTTGAGGACAGCTGCTCTACATCACAGCATGAAGCTATAGAGGAGATTTCTTCACTTTCTTCATTTTATCAGTCGCTTCAGATCATTTTTCAAGGTCTTAAACAGACACATTTACTGTAAGTAGCTTTAATCCATTTTTAAACTAACAGTCTGCACCTTTAATACGCACAGCCCTACTCAGTGACCTGCAGCATGTGTGGAATAACAGTAATTAGTTTCCCTGTTAAAAAAATCCAACCTTTTGTGCTGTTGTTAATAGGAAACAGCTGATACTCACTAATGTATTTTTATGTCAGCACAGCAGATGGACTTGGACACTCAGTCTTTTTCTTTCACTTTATCGTTAATATGAATAACTATAACCATATAGTTACATAGTTACGAATATCTACAATTATAACTATATTAACTGTACAACAATATTAACAGCTGTTGCTGTAAAACCATCAAAGTTTACAAAGGAGGGACGAATGAATGACTCCATTAAAACCTGTTAGATGTTACGCGGTGACAGTGAAATTCTGTTTTTAGTTTACTCTTCCACCACTTTTGCAAAAGACACAATAATGTGTAACAACTAACAAACACATAATTTGTGTAAATTTATTAATCGCCCGTAAAGATAATCGCACCTACGAGCGTTATTTGGGAGTGCTGCTAACAAGCTATTTTGTCCTGTTTAGTAAACCTGACACTGACAGTCTAAATTTGATACCTGTAACGGGTGGAACACCTGTTGTGTAGTGAATGACCTGTAGAGGGTGTAAAATAAAAAGCATAAATCTCACATGTCAGAATAACAAGTTTCTACAGCAATAAAGAAATAAAGAACAAACTGGTAACAATGTGTTGCTTTGTTTTTTTTAATAATATGCTTGAAAAATTAACTAAACATATAATTTCATATGAACACAAAGAGCCTCAATTGTTTTTGTTACCCAGTCATTTGCTTTGCCTTCTATAAAATGTGGATGTTGTCCTTTAAAAAACACAAAGTTAGAGCAAAGTGTGGATAGTTGTTATTCATTAAATGTCGAGTAAAACCAGCAAAAATATAAATCACATAGATTTTTGCCCAAAGACAAGGAAATTTAATGATAATTTTGTAATATTTGGCAACATTTCTGTCAATTTATTCTGAGTTTATAATTAAAATTCCACAGTTAAAATAATCCCTAGTATGTAGAAGATTACCAAGAGAAAACCATCCTCGCTCTGCCACGAGTCCTGCAAAATGTTCTGATTCTACACGCAGTAACAAAACCTGTGGGGAAAAAAAACCCTGCCTTGGTTCTTGCTCCTGAAAGTGACATCCAATTAATTTGAACAGAATCCTGCTTGGCTTGGCAGCGTCAGCTGGTGTCGGGCACATTCTGAACCCAGAGTCAAGTCCTCCAT